ACCACGGATCTGTGGAGACTACCGACTAACGTTGAATCCCAGATTGCGGAGATGTGCAGCGAGAAGAAGATTTCATGAAGTCATTGCGTGGTTGCTAATATTTTTTTGATTTCGATAGATCGGTTTGGCAGACGTATACCTACAGATTCCACTCGATGTCGAGTCTCGCTACTTGACAACGATCCACACATCGTGGGGAATGTTTCAATACAATTTTCTCCCATTCGGATTGCATGTGTCGTCTGGCCTCTTTCAATCGGCAATGGACAGTGTAATCAAAGGACTCGACGGTGTGCTTGCATATGAAGATGACGTTCCCGTTTTTGACCTTAATGAGAAAGAACACGATACCCGTCTTACGCAGCTACTGGAACAATTTGCCGCCAGAAACGTGGCTATCAAACCGTCCAAGTGTGTGTTTGGAGTGAGTTGGAGTTTCTAGGATTCACAGTTGATTCCTGTGAATATCGTCCCGATCCGACACGCTTCAACCCATTGACTAACATGGAATCTCCAAAAGATCAAACGCATTTGAGATCGGTNTAGGATTCACAGTTGATTCCCGTGGATATCGTCCCGATCCGACACGTTTCGAACCATTGACTAACATCGAACCTCCAAAAGATCAAACGCATTCGAGATCGGTGATGGGATGCCTACAGTACTGTTTCCGATTTATCCCGAACTTTGTTGCAAGGGCGCAGCCGCTTTTCCGTGCTCAGTGTTCAGACACTTGAGAATGGTCGGTGGAGTGAAGATATCTTAAGTGGTTTAATTCGCTGCGTTACTGACCGGTAAACATCATTTTAGCAAACATGAAGACAACTTTGCGAGCACACATTGATGCAAACGTGTACCGTATAACTAGGGCTACAAGATCACATAAATGCAACGAACTTTAGAATCTATAACCGAAAAACTTAATTTGGCCAAGTTCAAACTCAATTCTTTTTTTGCAATGAGTAAACACCGCAACCGGGGCGGGAAATATTGTCCTAATGGTCATTTTGAAGGGTTGACACCACAGGGGTACAGAAATTAGCTAGAACTTCTAGCACAGGCCGAGAATCACATCCAAAGGAGAGCGCGTCGCGCACGACTGGTGTGAAAATTTGCTCCGATCCGTCTAAAGACATTGAAGGCTTTATTTTGCCTGATGTCCGTATAGCAGTAGTGTTACTTGGGATGTATCCGCGTTGGAAAGAGAACTTCCACTTGCACGAACGGATCGATTCAGTTTTCCATGGGATAAAAGAAATTACAAAGTGCGAATATTGGAAATTTTTCATTTCATAAAAATTATTGTGCTGTGATTTGTTTAGCACTGTCTGGACTCAGAGCCCTGTGAAAAATTCATACCAGGCACTCGGAACCGTGGTTTCCAATCAAGAACTTATTGCAGGCCATTCTAAAACTGCAAATTAGACACTCCTCTATAAATGAGGATAAGATCTAAAGCAGTACAATGAGAAAGCTTTCGTAATCTACTGTAACTGTGTGCGATGAAACAACCAATTATTGTCATTGGCTTAAAAACTCGCGTTCTACATTTACTGTAAGCAACCAATGATCAAGTTTATTCTCCACTTGTACTGACAGGGGATTAGTCGCTGCAGTTTTCAATGGCGGTTGGAACTCGCAGGGATGCTACCGGGAGCCCCGTTCCAGAGATCAATTATATGCTTCGCAACAGAGATTGCGAGTGAAAACCTCAAACAGATAACTAAATCGATCAAAAAGCAGTATTCTTACTCATAAACAAAAGCCACCGGATGAATGCTAGTGTGTGGGGGGGGGATGAGGTACACAAGTCAAAGGAACGACAAAATATTTCATTTAAATGTTCAAAACATGCTGAAACGCCTCGAATTCGAACGGCTTTGAAAACGAATTCCAATTGCTACATTATTTGCCAGTATATAGGTGTGATAAACAAAGAATTCATGGATGGTTCTGAATAATCGTTTCAAAGCATGTCTGTATGCAAATATGCGTGTGTGTGGTTGGGTGCATGTGAGAAAGAAAGGTCGTGTGCACCAGATATGCGGGTATGGTGAGAGAATGAATGTGTCTCGTGTAAGGAGACATGAAACCGAAGTGAGGAAAGGAGAGGGGAAAACGAAGGAAAGGACCCAATAGATGAATGTGTCAGTGGACTGGAGCTCACCACTACACATGGATACACATGATGAGTGATAAGAAGAATGGGCGCAGAACGATGAGTGTCTGATTTGAAGACAGAAAGAGGAGATGAAGAATGTACAACAATATGCCGTGTTTTGCTGAATGCGACTGTCAGTGTGGGTCCCTCTTGTGTAACTCACGGTGTACAGTCTGCCGAGTATCCGGCCAAACTGCAAGGAAGGATGGGGATGAATAGACATACTTGGGATGAGCAGTTGTGCCGAGTCGGCTCGTTTGTACTTCACATTCGACCACGATTGACAAACTGGATTTGAGCACGGGACAGTACACGGGCTCCGCAATCAATGGGAGGCGGGCGACTCGAAGAAATCGATGCGGAGCAAAATAGAATGCTACAGGGCACCCCAGCAGACGGGAACAACTGGGTCAGTCAACTAGGGTGCTCATCACAGAATAATACGGACACAATGCTGCCGCAACGATGTTCGCTTGGATTGCCGTAACATGTNATCCCGTAGGTGTCTTTAGGCCATCCCATAGCCCTCGCTGCATTCGCGAATGGCGGTCAACAACCTGGCACGCAAGTGCTCGTAGGTCTCATAGGCGGGAAGGACAAGTGTATTGAAACTACAAAGGAACAAACAAATACGAGTTAATAATTGAAGAATACGTGACCTGCTAAGTCAAAAACCGCGAAAAAGAAACGAGCAATAAATCCGCTGAATATTATGGCAGAGGGTTCAGTAACTTCAAGTGGAACCGCGGCAGAATGAGCGTTCAATCTAGGAGAAGTAAACGGGACATTTGTCTCACCCTGGCATATGGTCGCATGAGACAATCATTAAGTCACTTCAAGGTATATACAGTTACTTTCCACTCTTCTCATATGCCCCAATCACAAAGCTAACGTCAGCCCTTGTATTGCAACAAACGTTCAACCGTTACCAGACAAGCGGAAGTGGAAGTATCAACAAAGATGAAGGTGCTACCGAATGAATCAGTAGAACCGAGGTGCACATCAATCCTAAGGGAGAAGTCAAGCGAAAAACTGTCGCAAGAATGCAACCAGCATCAGGCATATAGGTCTAATAATTAAGTAATGGAAGCAAATTCCGCCAACACGATTTGTAAAATGGCAGCAAAAATGATTTCATCTGATTTAGGATCTACTTTCAAAAGCACTCTCTACAGCACTAGCTTTTGTATTGTAAAATTCAGATGGCACAAACTTGAGGATACGATTTAGTTCTAACGTGTACAAGGTCCATCTAGACCCTGAAATCATTGGAGAAAGATCACGTCCAAGCACTTTGATTTAATGCTGAACAAGATAACGTTAGTGGATGGTGGTCAGATGGGTTTCAGGCATTTTAAATGACATTCTCTGGGCTCTAAGTTCCGACGTAGGAACCTTAGCTTTGTCATACAACTTGATTGTTGGGCAGCTTGGTGTCGCCCTGCTCCATCGCCTTTTTCCACTCTAAATACTACGGATTAGATAGACTACAAACATTATAATCATTAAGTTTTTGATTGATAGAACGTGTCCCTTTCTTCGCAAAATGACAAGATGATGATTTCAGAACCAACGCCGAACATTGAATGACATTCCTCCTTAGAATCGAAGTTCCTTTCAATATGATTTCCTCGACCGCACATTTAAAAAGTTATATAGCCCTCTCGATGTAGCGCTTTTGTGCGTCAATTTTGACTGATTTGTTTCATCTGCCCATCTGGTTTTGGGAATAGACAGAAGTAGAAAGCTGAGCGTAGTATCGGTGTCCAGATAATAAGACAGTCAAACCAAGTTTGGGCAGAGATAGAGAAATTCAATGTGAAATTTCGTGTGGCGTGTTTGAATGATCTTAGTTAAGAGACTTGAATTTCACACCGAACTTGGACCGAGTACAGTCACATTTCCTGACGATCAATTTCTACCCATGCAGTTGGACAAATATGACATAAAAACAGTAATACACACGGGAATAACAGGAGAAAATACCTAAATGAAGTACAAGACATCAATATATAGTAAGTTGGTAATGAAAAACGTACCATGTATGTGCACACGGGAGATGACTTGTGCTTGAACCAGTAGCACGACTGATCTGGAACTGAGTGGGTCCATGGATTCCCTCTAGATTGGCAAAGCCACCCAATGGCACTTTACTTGTGCCTGTAACAAATTGTAAAAATCGTGCGCGGTCCTCTTGATCGAATGATTCCAAAGCTCGCCAAAACCATTCGATTTGCGGAGAGTTGGCCTGATATTTTGAATAGATGGTATGCGCGCGTAAGTCGGCAATGTCTATATTGGGCAAACCACTGATCAATAGCTCCAGTTCCTGTTCATTGAACACGCTGATTAAGCGCTTAGGTATGATCTCATAGAAACCACCCAGGAAAGCATCAAGCTGTTGCCGAATAGCACCCGTCATGCGTTCCTGGCACACCAGACGCACGTATTCGCGCTTGTTATGGTCCGTGACGGGGACATTCCGGCCGTTCTCGATCAGATCACGGGTTTCTGTCTTGCCGAATTCGTTAATCTATAAACGACAAGGGAAAGAGAAATGACGGGATGTAGCAAGCAGAACCGAGATATTCAATTAAACGCCTGTTTTGGGACATATATAATGTGAACGGAAAGACAAGCAAACAATCAGTGGTATTGAGTAGCAAACTGATTCTCGACTGCAGCCAATAATAAGGATTCCCTTTTCTTGCTATTTTCTCATCACATCGCGAAGATGGCAACCAAGGACGTAACTTGTACGGAACGAAAAGTTAAAAGCAGCTAGATTTCGTGCATCGCCAAGCATGCAGAGTTTTGTTCTATTGACACACTAGATGATGAACCTGCAAGTTTTAGTAATTATCTTTTGGATAATGAGCAGAATTGTAATTGTAGTTTTAAAAGTAAACGATTCGTACAGACTAGGGTTGCAAGGATAGTGAATGGATGCACGCGCCCCATTATTCATAAATCTCAGCCGTATCACTGTTTCTCATACCATCGATCTCCCTCTTCTCGATATCCCCACCCAGGAGGTATAAAGCGAACTACACGACGGAGTCTGTTAGTTAGGATTTTAATACCCTCATGCCAAGTCTTGGGTTAACCACCCTTTCGTTGTTTTCAGTATCAACCCGGCTCGGCGAGGAGCACGCACCGTGAACATCTATTTGATTACAGGCGTAACACATGCCCAACCAACGTAAACTATAGTAGTCGACTACTAGCGATTACCTAAAACTTTGCTCCTAACTTTAGGATTGATTATCCGGTTTCCCCATCAGGCTCGTGCAATGCGGCGTAGACAGAAGTGCTCAAACACCAACAGTCTATCGTTAGCCTGTTCACTTATTAGCCAAGTCTCTGTACTGTAAAGCAGTGCTGCTGCAGTATACACTCGAACCCTCACAGACGGACGGATGTTGTGACGGCGCCACAAATGTCTCAAGTTTACAAACACTGAACGAGCCTTCTTAGAAAATGAATATCTAGATGAAATTATCTATTATAGCATGACTGTCTACAACATATTCAATGAGAAAAATTCACTCTAAAGATGTCTAAGTCTGATTGTTATCTATGACACAGGCGACAGTAATCACAAAAAACAAAGCCCCACTATGCATGTGGACATATCCCAAGGGCCTCACCAGACACACCTGTCGAAAATTAACACCCCACAACTCATTAATCATGTGGTCAGTGTTTGAATAGTCACGTCATAACACCCTACCACAGTTAAACACACTAACAATCTGTTTCCCCATCTCGCTACATCTCCCCAATACATATATATATTACAATAAGTAGTGCGAATGACTTGACAAAGTTTTCTACAAGCACACGACCGGTTTCGCGGTTCGTCCCGCTCGTCGTCTGTGTGCATCCCGCATTATTTCTTCAGTACATCCGTAGAGTTGCATATATATCCCGTAGTCAGTGAGTAGATGGAACAATGGAAATAAGTTTGTTCGCTTCATGGCAACTGTTTGTCCATGAACCAATCGGGTGTATGTAATCATTGAAATAGTAAATATATGGCAGGATCGAAACTGTTTGCAAACAGATTTTTTAAGAAAACTTGGATAGTCATATTTACCATGAAATGCAAGTGCCGAACTGCAACACTGCCAGCAGCGAACAAGAATATGACAGTATGCAGTTCATTATTTGATCAGGTTTAGGGATATAGTTTGATTATCATTATGAGGGCACGTTGATGTGGAAAAAAGATTAGACGGACTATCGTATAAGAATATGACCCGTAACAATAAAAGCAACAGTTCAGTGTACGCGTCTGCGCACGAGCATGAAGTAAAAGTACGAGAGTGTTTTCGTAATCAATCGGGCCCCACTAAAGACGCTGTGGAAAGTGATCGCAAGTACAGTAAAAATGCGATTCTCAAGTACCACTGAATCGTTTTAAGCACTCTAATTAAAACGCATCGAAGAAAACTCGGATGCAACTGTTTACCCACTAATGTTCATCGTATAATGATATGCACTGCAAGAAATGCGAAGCTCGCTGACTAGGATAGGTAAAAAAGAGCATATTGGTGGATAACAGTGGGAAGAAGCAGAAAATGTACCAAGACGGAAAGCAGAGAGCCTTCTAGCGTCCATGGTCCATGGATTCCGCTATATTTGGAAACTCTGCCATAAAAACGAAAGAGTTGGAATTATCGTACAGATCCATTAGCCTAGATTCCGAAACAGTGGCTAATATCCGTGTGGCTTCCTCTGCAATGGGGCAGGATCCAGGAAGAGAGCACCACGCAATACATAGCTTCTTAGCATGCGCATCATGTCCCTAACGAACTACACCGATATAAATTGGTGTGGCAAGTGGTTGCGATACGTAACATTGTGCAGGTGTGACGGTGCGGAGTGAGTTCGGAGGTACACAAATAAAAAAACAACCTAAGAGGGGGTAACAGATTAGTGATGATTTAGTGATAAGTACACTTCGGAACACGATCTCAAGCAAACATCAGAGACGTTTGATGAGACAAACTGTCGTTACTTGTGTGATTTGGCAAATTGTTCTAATTGAATACCACCGAGACTAACGACGAGCAACAGATAATAAATCACCACACAAACATCACCTTGTGGAATACAAGGGCGATAGACAAATCAAGCCGTGAGAGAATCGCACTGATAGTATGACAGAGTAAAAATGGAGAAAACCGCACAAATACGATGAAACGAACAGGTAATAAGCGAGGAAAAAAATACCTCCGTGCTGAATGTCAGCTCATAACCCAGGTCGGAAACATGATTCTTCAACAGGAACTCCAATCCCTTGTAGAACTCATAATCATCACTCTCTAGATCAGAGAATCTAGAACGGGAGTAGGAAAACAAAAATAAATAATTATTATAATATAAATATACACGTGAATAAATAGTATTAGATCAACACCAGAAGACATGTGGGCATAGCCAGTACATTTTTCTTCTGGTGTCGATGAAATGGATAAAGGAAAAAGTATGTTTTACAAATAGTATTAGACTGATTTGAATCGCCGATTGATCTTTTTATCAAACAGATTTATGATAGGATGGGAACTTCCAATGTTGGTTTCTACATCACACATTAGCTTCAACTTTTGCCTAATCCCCCATATCTGATTTTTTAAAACCTAAAACCAATTTTTCATTCACACTTGCTAAGGGTGACCGTTTCCAAATGAAGGAGCTTCAATGCCCCAATTTACAAGTGCGCATTCGGCTAATCATTTCTTAATTCTAAAGCGATCACTCCTGGTCCATGCTCATACAGACTGTTTTCAACAGGAAAGAATTCTGTTTTTATAACTCGAGACTGAGGCTTTCACAGATTGTTTAAATGCTCATTTTTCATGTCGCTTATTCAAATACCGTATCATGTTTGCTTCATTGTTCCCGTCTGCTGGTTTGAGAATAAAAGGATTGCACACAAATCGCCGGTGTAAACAACTACCGTGATGCGCTAGCGTACAACCTGGGTTGGAAGAGCACTCTTCTTATTGCAAGAACTATTCTCAAAGGATATGAAACGACAAGACTCACACACTTCACTACATTTTATTCACTCGAACATCTACTTCCTCCCGCGGAACTTGGTACTAGTAACTGCACGCTAAAACTACTTTTCTCGTCCAGAGGCTATGCTTACTTACCTCTTAAAGCTCACAACTTATAATGATTGTCATTACTCTGTTGCACGTGTTCTTTCCTATCATTACTGTTTTATTGCGCCAACACTGTGTAATCGCTCGTCGATCTATCAAAACATTTATTCCACGAAAATAAAAACGCAGAGAACACAAAAGTTGTGGAGGGGTAGCAGTGTCTGGAATGGCATGCAATGCAACATAAGTCGAAATGCTACTCACTTTACAGGAACACCCAGAATATGCTTGTAAAATGAGCGGGAGAAGTAGCACTCCAAAAGCTTGTTATCGTAGATTGCCTTTGCAATAAATCGACCGACAAATTTGAAGTATGATAAGTGGTTACTGTTTATGTATGAACTGGGATTTATTGTGTAGGTGACCCGGTCGGCAGGCGATGTGCGGAAAAGACAATAGTTGGGGTTGAAAATTTCCCGGCTCATTAGCAAATACCACTCGCGAAGAGGACCGCCAGCATCTTGTCCTTCTTCGTCTGGAAAGCGACAGGATGCAAAACAGCAAGATGAAGTGGTGAGTGGGTGCAAATGAGTACATGAGATCAAGTGAGGCAAAAGTATATGGAACAAAGAACCGCAGCAAATCGATGATGCAGAACTGTTTTGATAAAAATTATTTAAGAAGGAAAATGTCTCGGAAGCATCCATGGGTTTTGCGTAAAACAGGTGTCATTTTACTTAACTTCATGATAGTGAAGCACAGTTTCATCATGGAAACGGTAGTTTAAAAATCGTACATGAGAGGATTAGTTATTGGTTACCCATTCAGATGTACTTCTTTACCTGAAATAGACAATAATGCAAGATGGTTTGATTTCTTGACTTCAGATAATAGTTTCCTCTAGCTATAAACACCGGTAGCGCTTAGGGCCTTCTTACCTTTTATCCTCGAGAGATCTCTGTATTATCGGAGTTCTGAATATTTATTTATTATGGCTGGCGATCAATTACATTACAGTATTCAGTTTAAAGCGGACACAAGAAATTCGAACGAAAGTTACTGTTCTACTTGTACTTGGATCAAGAATAATGATCAACGAGTGTTGGTCTCGGAGAACGAATTTGGAGAAATCCCAAAGACCGCAAGCAACCCTAAGTCTACGGCTGGCGGAAATGTAAGCTGTAGATTGCACTCCCCGATCACAGATAAGGCAATAACTTCTTATAGGCATCGCTGAATAGGCACCCGATGACGGTAACTGATAATCGTGAAGGCTGTGCAACGATAAGCGACTTCGCTGTGAAGCCCAGGTCTGTAGCAAGCATGGTGACGTGAACCAAAAGGACCTGAGATCGAGGGGGTTATATTGATCACCATGCTCATTCATTTATTCTTGTTCTTCATTATCTGCTATCCCCTCTTTCGGATTGCGTTTATCCGTACCCACTCCTACTGTACACATGACAGCCGCGCAAAACGTTTCCGGATACGCGATAGACGTACGCGATGCAAATGACCGGGCAAGGAAAGCGTGAAATGTCACCTATTGTGAACATTGCTCAGTGATCGCAACTCACAGAACAAAATATCAAGAGCCGAGCACAGCTCAAAAGTCATAAGGGTCACTATACTCGAACTGTAAGGATGAAACTCAATCGATGGCACTGAAGGGCGATGATTTTCTACGACTGTAAATGTGGTTTAAAACAGTAGTAGAGTATCCATGGTTTATGAACTGTCTTCAGTGATGACGCACCTTCAAGGAGCACTGTGTTTGAGTGGCTCGCAGAATTCAGGCGTGACAGGCGGTCCCTGGATGATGACACACGGTGTGATCAAACTGTGGAGGCCACCAAAGCGGGCTAAATTGTTGATGCGCAAGCGATGGTGGAGGATGCGCGGGTGACAATTACACAGCTGACGAAAGTCATCGGGATCAATCCACACCATCCTACATAAGAAGCTCGGTCTCAGAAAGGTTTGCGCACGTTGGGTATCCCATTAACTCAGTGGAGAACATAAAGCAGTTCGGGCGAATCGGTAGTCCAACATGCTTACTATGTACAATGGCGGACGTTGCCATGCAGTTTGGAAGATTATTAGTCATGATGAGGGTTGGGTGTACAGTTTGGACTCAGAGACCAAGCATCCTGGAGGTTGGTCACCCACCCTACAGTCCAAACCTGTCTCCGTGTGACTTTTTTGTGCTCCAAAAGGGCAAGCGCATGATGTGCGGAATCCGATACGAGTCACCAACAGCAGCAGTGAGAATCTTCACAGAATTTATCGAAGAGTTACCCGCTTCGGCATGGTCGAGCTGTTCCACCAAGTGGTTTTAGCGAATGAAACTGAGCATGACCACGGGAGGAGAAAATGTAATGCTAACTTTTGTGTAAAAAATAAATTTTTCTGCATCCGGAAACCTTTTGCTCAGCCCTGTTTTCGTGTATATATATATATATATATATATATATATATATATAATGCTTCTCTATGCACGTAGCATTTAGCTTTGTAAAGGTTGTAGGCGTGTTATTCAAGAAAAAATGAAAGGGTACTGATGATATTCAATAATGCCATAAAGCACACATTCTTCATAAATTTCATCGAAAAAATCGCATATGAAAATGACTGCACAGATAGCCTTTGTTTCAACTGAAAAAGGTGTTACTTACTCTGGAAGCGAATGACAAACTTATGCTTCCATCGGGCTGGGGATTTTTGGTGAAGACGAGCATAGCTATCTTCGAATATGCGATCACGAGAAATCACAATCGGTTCATCATCATACCGATTTGTGGCTGTCGATCGACCATTTAATGATTGTAACTGCTGTCGGAAGAATCGTCGTTTAATGTCAAAATCAAGCACCCGTGGATAGACGAGGAACACAGCCAGCGGGGATTCACCTAAACCATTACCATAGTGACGTAATATTTGGTTCAAGCCAGTGCGATGTTGTTCAGCGAACTGGAGAATGAGGTTTGAATTCGAGGTGGAAGATACCGAGGCCCGCCCACAATGTGCAGTATCACCGGCTGAGCGTTCTTCTTCCATAGGCAGACAAGGTGGTGACATCGGACCAACAACATCTAGGTTTACATGTGCCGTATTTTCGTTTGACGTTGTATCTCCCTGGGATCCTCGATCTGCGACTGGCAAAGCACTAGAGTGGTGAACACGTAAATGTAACACTGGAACCATATCGATGAAACTGAATGCGTTGGATGCATTAGGGTTTGTACGAGCAGATCGCGAAAGAACATCACGCGATCTGATCATAATAGAATCCTTTACGAGATAAAGATGAGCCAAACAGAATGCTTCTAACAGTGGTTGAAGCAACAGTACCGCATTGGGTTCAGGCAGCGCTGTGAGTTTTTCGAACGCCAAACTCAATCGAGACCAGAACTCAGGCAACACGGTCACCGACTGGAACGGATCGTAGGCACACAATGGAATGGGCTCAGTTAGATTGTTGGAAGAGTTTCCGGAAGCAGTGCTCAAAATGAGACCAAGGGTGCTGCGGAACCTTGTCTGATCACTATTAGGACACGAGAATACTTGGGCCGATTTCAGTTGAAGATCAGCGAACGTGTTGGCTGGTTGAACAGGCCTCGAGTCACCGGAAATTACGACGACTTGTCCAGATGCACTGAATCGATCGGGAAGCACATCAAACGAAGTTGAAGCAAGACGACTGCTACTGGAGCTAGTGGACGATCCAGGAACATTAAACTTTTCGGAAGATTTACTATACTGCTTGGTAGTTTCGGCGGGTTTCATTGAATCGATTTCATCAGTGAGGTCCTAGAAACACAAGAGAACAGTCATCACGCGTGGTTCAACAGTCCGATATGAAATATGGAACTCATTCGATAAAAGCACAATTGCACCAATCTGCATAAAACCACAAGAGAGAGAGTTCAAAATCCTGATCACACCTATCTAGCGCAGTCATTGAATGTACTGCAAAGAACACTAACAGAAAGTGGAATGTGGGAAGAGAAACGTATGTAACCATAGGAATTAAGGAAACACTTAGCAAACCAGGAACATGGTGTGCAGGAACAGATGCACAGCGAGTGCAACGCGTCGAAGACTATGCATGGAGAACCGGTAAGCATTTTATCGAAAGTAAGTGGACAACTCGGACGGGGATGACTGTTTGTTTACGAAACTGATTGTGATGTTGCATTAACTTTATGATTGGTAAGAACGTATTGATATCAAAATAC